ACCCGTCCTAGCTAGCGCGTTCATATCTGTAACACATATCTTAGCCTTCACACAGCTAGCTACACTCATATCCCTACCTGGTACGTGTCTTTCACCCGTCGACACCTCACTCAACACGTTTCCTTCCTTTCGAGTCTCAGTCATCTGAAATTGCACTATCTCGAGCGCAGCAGCCTGGGAACGACCTTCGCACGTGGCAAATAAATTTATTAAAATGTTCCTGTCTTTACATGTATGTACAGTTAGTATCTATCGACGACATGGCCGGCCCCGCGACGGGCACGGAACAGACTCCCTACACCATCCTCCTCCCGCACACCCTGGCTGTTGGGCTGCTGTGGCCGCTGTCGTTGTCCACGAAATGCCTTGTGAATTCCGCTGGTCGTCTTCGCCTTCGCGAGCCTCTGTCGCGCTGACGGTCGCCACGACTTCGAGTGCCGTCCACTTGATGGCCGGGAGTCCGTCAGTGGCGGACTCCGATGTGTACGAGTAGGCATGTGTCGCACCCGAGTGCCCACGGTGTCCGTCGGCGGCGGCGGTCGAGGTAGTCGTAGCTCTAGCAGCTCCAGTTGTGCTTAGGCGATCCCGCCGTGAAGATTTCAGATAACAAGTCCGCCGACTCGCGTGCGGGCGATGAAGGCAGAACGGTGGTCGACACGAGACGCTTGTGTTGAGTCGCATTGAGCAGAGGCCACGATGTTATGAGCTCGTGGCTCTTCTAACAATCGCGGCGGCAGGCTGGAGGATCGTGTCATGGCCCACGAGCTTGTCGTTGCGAAGTCTGGCCGTAGCGTCCGTGGTAGGTGTACCATAGACCGAGCGTAACCTTCAGGTATCACTCGGCGTTGAGTCGAACCTTGTTGAACCTGAACGTAACACATCTGGTGAGCGACATTCTCAGAACACGCATGTGAGAAGAACAAACCTCGTTCATGTATGCACGCACGCGTGTTGTCCCGGCTCGAGAGTGCATCCACGACCTTCGAAGACATCTGCCTCCAGCCGTCGCCTCGTCGCACAAGTGGACGCGCAGCCGGGAAATCGGATAGCAATCCCATATACGCTGCAGCGCGTTATCGCCTTCATTGCCTTGACCAGTTCCAGTGCCCGAGACGTTGCGAGACCTTGGCCGGCGCGCACGGGGTACGCATGTAGTCGGGGTCTACGGGCGCGATCGAGTGTGAGCCGGCAGGGTTTCATTGAGCACGCGGGTAGTGCCTTCGTTGGGAGGCGCGTATGTGACTGTGGCCGGCATTGCGTGATATACTGGGCTATCGCCTCGGGATCGGCCGTGTTTGGGGTTGCGGTCCTGTTACTCGGACGCGTACGCACGCTTACGAGGATGACGTGCCGAGGATTCGTGCGGTTGGCAATGATTCTCGACGAGAGACGACTTGAAGCGCGTAGGGCGTCGCTGGTCATTGCGAGCGCGTTCAACGACTGGTCCTTGATGTCGCGGGGCCAACCCACGGTCCTACACTGTCCGGCGTTGTGGTCACGAGAGATGGGGCTTGGCCGGTGCAGTCGTTCGTGTCATCGACTTCAGTCGTCACGGATGCGGCGAGTTGACGCGAAGCAACTCGTTGCGTTGGACGTTCTCCGTGGCGCCGCGGAGAAGTCGGATGAACCGTGCGGACGTGAGGCGCGCGCTACTGGTCGTCCATCGAGCTAGCGATGCCGCACGCCAGCGATCCATCCAATCGCGTAGATGATGTCCGCACTCGGCCAAAGACCTTGAATTCACGCGGTAGCACCGCGCTCGAGAATCGCTCGAGGTATCTTGAAGCCGCCGTGCATCTCGTGCTTGACGTAGGGCTGGAGAGCTCGACGCGTAATACCGACACTGGCTACGGCCTTTTGTCTGAGGTGTCGAGTACTTGGGCGCGTGAGACGTCCGAAGCGGTGAAGCCAGCGGGTGATCACTTCGCCACCACGCTTTTCGGCCCTCCGCAGGGTTCTCGGTGGTGGAGGTATCAGTCGGCGTGAACTCGCAGGCGCGTAGGTCACAGTCGAAACGAGCAGCGTTGCAGTCAAACGCCGTATTCCGACCGCCGCTTGTCGCATGAGGCTCGCAGAGACCTTATCGATGCATATGACTCATGTGCGTGTTGGAGAAGTCGGCAAGACGGCAATATAAAGGATCGAGGGATGGAGTCTTGCCGAAGGCGTCGCCCAGCCCGGTTGTGAGGACGGCCGAGATGCGTACGGTGTTGTTGAACCGACAAGAGCGATGGCTAGCACCTGTCGACGGTTCGGTATGTTGTTGTCTGCCATGACGCCTCCCGAGAAGCGAGTCCGCGGAACTATTAGCGTCAAGAACTGACGGGCTCAAGAAGCGCGCGAAGCGTATGACGGAGGACGGTGGGAGGGAGCTTGGAATTCCCGAGAGTAGTCGCGACGAGAGATCCAGTCGCGTCTGCCGCGGAGTGTGTATCTTGTCCGTTCGCTAGCCTTCGCGTCTGTGGCGAGCGACGAGCGTGTCAACGAAGAGTTGTCTGCAACGCATAGCAACTCTCCAGCCTTAGGCGCAGACATTTGCGAAACCTGTACTTTAATAATAAGTGAGCGGCGTTCTACATTCATAATGAGGAGAAGAACGTACCTCATCGAAGTACGCAGTATGCGTATCTAGCCTGCGGCCGAGAGGCCGCCGCGAATTTTGCAGCAGCAGGCCGTTCTCCGATAGAGACATCGCTCCGTTTGGATGAACGTTGTCGGCGAGCGAGCGAGCCAGACGTGAGTCCTGAAGGCTAGTTACTGTTCAGGAGCTAGAGCCAGCCGCTACATTGTGGTGTCGCCGGTGGCTGCGTGCAGTGCTGCATAAAGCGGAAATGAGGCCAGTCGCCTGCGTACGACCGAGGGCCAGCCATTGAGCGCAAGAGCCGACGATGACGTCCAGCGAAGCATATCCGGTAGTGGTATCGTGCCATATCGAATGCACGCGTACAAAATCGCAAGATATTCGCATGCAGATGACCTGTATGGCCGCATCCTCGTCAGAAACCTGAGACTTCGTATCGCAGAACAACGAATAAACATACGTGTTTGTGACGTCGAAAGGGGGTCGCCGTCGAGAGCTGGTAGCCGCGCCCGTTTGTTGTCACCAATGGCAGCGTACAAAGCTCGGAGTGCCGTGGTGTACGAATTATCCTTCAGCTACTCGTCGAGAACGCGGTGTCGAGCGCCAGCGCGGAGGTTGAGTACGTGAAGACGACGTTTGGCGTATGAGGCCCAAGGCGCTCATATGGAATTTGAAGCCCATAGAAGGTTTTTGCCGTACGGCGCGAGAGTGAATCGTATTGTACGCCATAGTCAGACAGATGTAAGGCTTTCTATGGGATGAAGGCAGCTGTACGGTGATGGCGGTCGTGAGCAACACGCGGCTCGGGACTCGGCGCGCGCAAACGCGGGAACGTGATCGCGACTTTGCGCTCAAAGCAACTTGTCTGGGACGGCGAGCATGCATGCGCCACCTGCTGCTCGCAGGCGAGCCATCTTGCCACGGCAGTCTACCCCAGGGGGCGCGACGGACTCTGCAACTCCAACTCCAACGCCGACTGATACAGATAATGCTGACCCGACTTCATCCTCCACCTCCACAAGATCTAGCAGCACACCGACTTCAACGTGAGTGGTTTCATATTTCATATTATTTGCCTTAATACTCATACATAGTCTTGTAGAATCGAGTCGACCGAGAGCTCAAGTAGTACCCGGACGCCGACTTCAAGCACATCAACCACGCCTACTTCGACTCCTACTTCCACACCAACCTCTACCTCGGAATCTAGCACGCGATCCAGCACAGAAACATCGTCCACCGAGACCTCTACGACCTCTTCATCTACGCCCTCTAGCTCTACATCTACGGAAAGCTCTGCTTCATCGACCTCGACTCCAACCTCTTCATCTACCGAATCCTCTTCAACACCCTCGTCTACAACTACGACCTCTGCAACGCCCTTCACGACCCTTTCAGCATCTACTTCATCCCCTGGCGCTAGCTTTACGACATTCACTTCGTCCATTGTCACCGAGATAAATGGTACCCCCACCACGGTACGTCTTTTGCTCTACATTCCCTGTGCCATTCAATCCGTGTCCCAAAATTTGCCAAGCATACACCGCCTGGCGTTGGAGCTTTCGGATATCAATCCACCCACTCGTGATCATCCAAGATTTATGTACGGTCAACTGATTCCACGCCATCCACAGGCTCCATTCGCAATAGTCACCGCTCTCAATCCTGATTCGTCAGGCGATGGGCTCGATAGTCACGAGCGGACAGCCGTCATCGCAGGAGCGGCGGTAGGCGGCACCGCCCTACTCGTGATCCTCTTCGCGGGATTCTTCTACTACCGGCGACGTGTTGACAAGAAGCACTATACCTCTCTTCAACGCGACCCTCCATCTCGAGCTGCCTTCCTCGCCGACGAACTTGCGGCGCCTCCGCCCGGTGGATATCGCGACGATCCCTTCGCGCCAGGCGGCGCAGCTATCGGGGAAGCGTACGAGCTCCCGCCTCGGATACACCGCTCAGGACATTCGGAAAGCGGGAGCATCTTCAGGGAGGACGTGTGGCCACCGCCGCAATCCTCGCTGGAGGACCCTTTCGCTAGCACGCCGAATCTACACGGCATCGAGAGCTCAGTCCGTCCTTCCGGTCCTTCGCCTGCACCCACCCAATCAACACTCGGTGTCGGTCCGCGCCCAGGAGCCCTCGACCCTCGTACGCGCGGGGAATCAGGCGATGCGAGCATCTGGTCCCAAGCAAGCGCACCGCGTCCGATGAGCGCGACAAGCCACACAGGGCTCATCCCCGAACATAACTCGCACGGACGCGACGCGTCGGATACTCCGCTCCTGAGCGACGCAGCGAGCGCCATCGAGTACGATACGCGTCTGGGGCCGCTTGTACCCACGAACCCGGATACACATTCGATCGACCTGCCTAGTCCGCCGCCGAGTGGGCTTCCGGGGCATCCGAGCTGGTTGGAGAGGACGCCGAGGAGAGCGGATGGGAGTGGATGAGCGCGCTACGATCGGGACAAGCTTCGAACGTCTGTGGCGCCGCCATTTCTGTCTTCTGTCAAGATGCACCCGCAGCTACGATGCTGCGTATTGGTCGTGTACATACTGTCCCGGATTGCACGCTCGGATACGCGACCTACTCCGCGCTTGCGCGGTCTTCTCAAGAAAGACATACGTTAGCGTGAGCCTTGGGGGGCGAGATATGAGACTGAAGCCACTAGGGCTTGAATACTGGCTGCATGAGCTCCAGCGCGAGCCCTGAATTACGCGGGCGGTTTCGCGGTATAGGTTGATGGTGCGTGAGCTTGCTAGCCAACGAGATATACTTGTCTGATACGTCCCCGCAGGAACTCGTGTCTTTCCGAAGCCTAGATTGCCGTGCCTTGCCAATACGCGTTTCCTCACGTCACACCACATCATACGCTCGCGCACGGATGCAGCATCATATCACTCTCGTGGGTCCTCAGGGTGCAGCGCCTTGGCACGTTTGTCGGCCGTCGGGAAGAGACGCGCGAGGGCAGTGGACTGGCGAGCTGAGTACTGGACCCGATGGCGCAGCGAAGAACACCAGGCGCCGCGAGGGCGATCGGCGTGGAGATAGATAGGATGGTTTTGAGAGCTACTACGTTACAACCCATGTATCGTACTGTAGTGGACTACACTAGTCCGGTCCACGCAACCTCGCCACACACGCCTCTATTCGGTAGGCTCGCGAGCCATGCCGACTTTAGCAAAACATCGCCCATGGTCCCCTCTCCTGTGAACAATAGCTCTGCGCCGGTGTAGCACGCGTGAGAGACCGATCCGCTTCGTTCGACATGCCGAGGCGTGCGTGAGCCGCGCCTTGCGCACGATACACTGGCACAGCGATGTATCTGAGGAATGCGCGTTGGCCACTGAGCGGTTCTGCTGAGCCGCGACTATCGCGTTCAGCGTCTGCGGCAATATCCCTGAAGCTGTAACCCACGCGGCGTAATCCCATCTTCGTTCGGTGCACCGGGAGGCTTGAAGGGCACGGCGCGTCGGATATTGGCCAAAGCGACGCGGAGATTGTACAGCGGGCCAGTGCGCGGAGTGAAGAATGCACGCGTCTGCATGCCAGTCGTCGGAAGTTGGACGTCGAGTGCAGAGTGCGGATGCGTGCGCACAGTGGCTGCCATGGTTGTACTCGAAGAGGGTGTGGGCATGTGGCGCTCGCGCCCGCGCGCACCGCTAGCTTCGCCGTGCTCCCGGGATGAGCTAGGTGGCAGGCATTTCGGCCGAAGGTTTGAAAGAGTATTGATCGTAGGTCTATGGCTCAGTGTCCGGTTATGACCTTGCGGCGCGAAGAATTGGAGACCGGTATAGCGTGATGCTTTTGACCTTGATACTAGCGTGCGGACCGATACGGCGAGGCGGGGGTCGCGCCTTGAAAGACAAAGTGAGCAGGTTGGACGCCTAGTTATAGAGAATGAAAGCAACATTTGCAGTTACGTCGCGCATGACCAGCGAGGATGTGGCTAGACGTCCAGACTGAAGACCGTCTCCAAGCCCTCAAGATTCCATAAGCGCGAGTACACCTTGCCAACGATCGAAGATGGCCGATGTGGCCTCGGCACGCATCATCTTGGAGTGGTATAGACGATAGGACTATCGGCGTGGTGCGCGCGGGATGAAGAGGGTATCTCGAACTTGAGCACGAAAGCGGGCTCGGGCTAGGCCGATAGAGATTGCAGCTCAGCGAGAATGAACCTTAGAGTGATGATCCTTGTAGATATATCTGCAAAGATATATCAGAACAGAGCTTGGATTGCGTCTTATCATGACCACGAACGAACCGAAGATCAAGTTAGAGTGCGTGAGCAGCACGTTTCTTGACGCCGAACCCGCGCATTCACTAACCCCCCACCCCACCCTCGCTCTTCCAAGCACCCTTCCATATCGTCTTCCAAAGCCGTAGTTCCCTCCCAATTGATGGTGGCAGACGAACGGCGAATGGGGCTCCATCAACGATGCTGCACATCACTAAGCTCTGAGAGCCCAATGACATGGGGTTCGAGGCGTCCAGATATTAGCAGTAGCAGGCTCGGAGCACATGATATAGTTGATAAGACTATAAGCTTTACGCGCAACAGGATGAATAGCCTATTGACAAGCGATTGGACGACATGGTGGGAGTAAGAAGAACGCTAAGGTCAAACGGACGTGCGAAGACGCGAGTTGATCTTGACCACCATGTTCTTCACTCCAGCGTAGCGCATGGACACACGTTCGGGGGCGTCGTTTCTCTGCATCATTCATCTGATCGTGTGGAAGTGCTTATATCAGTGGCGTCGACATCCGACTAGGTGATCTTATCTTAAGCCGAGTCTCGCTATCCCGGCCCGACTGCGACGGCGCCGTATGCTATATTGTCTGTACACTACTAATCGCTCCTTCTCTTTTCTTTCCTATCCAATTCTCAGGTGTAATTCTTCTCTCACTGTACGAGCAATCGCGCCCTGGCTGGCGTTGGCACTTAGACAGCGACGCGGAGCTCGGATTGAGAGAAGCGAGGAGGTCGAAGGAGCGCGAGCTTGAGCTCGAGGTAGCGGACATTCTTGCGCCTACACGCGCTGAGGAACGGGCTGTACGATGAGAAGCTGAGGTTATACATGGTGGACACCCGGATATACGATGATGGCGTTGAAGAGGGTCGTGGGGGCGACCTGAATATTACCTGCAGGAAAGGCGCTACGTACACCAGCAATCCACCTCATGCATTCGTCACCTTTCTACTGTCTCAATCGGAAGATTCCAATCGCAATCCATCAGCACAAAAGATCCAGCCGCTCGTCAGATTGACAAGGACAAGTCTGGGTGCTTTTTTGGCGATGCTCTTGCTAGTGACGATGAACGACAGTTGACCACCTCGGCGAAGCCGCTCGCCTTCACCACCATTATTTTCTATGAGATTTTGTATCCAATCGCCTCTTCGAGGAAGCCCATGCTGCCTGTAGGCACTAAGACCATCGAGTCGGTTTGACACTCTTCCCTCGAGCCCCATCTCTTGCTCGTGTCTTGATCATTGGACGTGCTCGCTTCAATCCATGGAAGGCTACCACTCTGTGATCGCCTATGTACTAACTCTGTGACATTGCCTTCACTCGCAGATACCTTGAGCTTCGACGTCGATACGAACATCCTTCGCCGAGATCAATATTGTATATGTCACTCGGGTCCATCAGGTTGATCAGCTAGCCCCCGATGCTCGTCGCTCCTTCATCATCTCCGACAATCCATCATAGCGCCTGTCTTTTACGGATGTCGTCGCCTGCTACATATGAGTGTGCAACACTACACTTATCGATCTTATCCCTCGTTCCAGCGATTACATGATGCACTATTGCGCGGGACGTGTCATACCTCTTCCCCGTGTATGTACCGAGGTGGCGAGTTTGATAATCGGGTTGCTTATCTTGATCGCGAGGTCATAAGTATGGCGCTCGTTGACGCGGCGCGGAGTCGAAACCCTCGCCCAAGTTCCGGAAAATGCCGGCCGCGGCTTCCCTTTCACCACCATCACGGCTTACATCGAACGCAAGATCCACCCCATGGAGGCTATCAACGCTACATATGTAGCTCAGCCTGCGAACCCAAGCGAAAGGTACGGCCTGATCTTTCTTATCTTCATCGAGAGGCGAACAACTCAACCCCATCGCGACAGCGACATAGATGTGCAGCCACTATGGATGGCCTTTGTGCACAATCATACGGCGCATCTATCCGTTCCACCTTCGCAATCAACGTCTGAGTCTAGGGCTCAGACGCATGCTAGTTTACAGGCTCACTTCAACGCGTCGCATGTGGTGCAGAGCAAACTCGGGCAACGCATGAATTGGCTCACTCCCATCTATACACTCCCCGACGAAGTACTAGCGCGTATCTTCGTACTTGTGTGCGCCGCTCGGACGCCAAATGCCGCTCTCCCGACCGACCTGATGACTGTTTGCCACCGGTGGTGTTCCATCATCAGAGGCTTTCCTGGTACTTGGGTATACCCCCCTCTCTACACGTCTCGCGACAAGGTTACCGCTCTCCTCGCAAGATCGAAGTCTTCTGCACTCCATCTTTGCTGGGAACACCCTAGCTTGTCTGCCATCGTCTTTCAGTCTGCGCACCAATCCGTAGACCCGATGGGCGTTCTCTCACCGCTGGTGGCACGATCATGCACAATCAAGTTGGAAGCTTCGATCCCAGCACTTCTCGGGCTTATAAACCAGTTTGGCGAAGATACCCCAGCCGTCAACTTGGAGAGCCTCGATGTGAATGTGGATTCGTCGGGGCAAACACCTACCCCCACACCGCCGATCTACATGACGCCCGCTATCTGGCCCAGGTTAATGTTCGATACACCCCAGCTACGCCATCTTAGGCTCTCCAACTTCGGCTACTTCGATTGGAGCCATCCGCTTCTCTGCGATACTCTGACATCGCTTGAGGTCAGCTTTTTTGATCACTCTCAAGTTTTCGTCAATCCATTCAACCACCCTGGACCCATCGAAGCCGCGCCATGCTCCTATGACCGCCTATTAGACGTTCTCGATCGGTTGCAATCGTTGGAAGAGCTGGTACTTCTTCGGTGCCTCTCGACCGCGCTGCTTTTAGGCCCACCTGTCGACGAGCGCAGAAAGGTGGCCATGAAGAACTTACGGGTGCTGAACGTCTTCGATACCTCTGGGGCGTGTGCAGTTCTCAATCGAAACTTAGCTCTCTCGCGAGATGCTGTCGCATTGTACATGTTCGGTTGGGCCGGGCCGGTGGACTCGAGCAACATCGCCAAGCTTGGCGATTCGTGCATCTCGTATGTCGAGGCGACCAAGTGGACCGTGCTGCATGTTGTCATCAACACAAGTCCTGATAGGGGGAGAAGTATCGGTTTCAATTTCTCGCAAGAGGGACGAACTGGCAAAGTAGCTCTAAGCGCTCTGCTACCCCCGCCCATCAATTCGCCCAACCTATTCGCGGACATCCCGAATCGAGATACCTGGCACCACGAGATCATCTCAACCATGGCCGAAAACCTACCTCTGGACAAAGTCCGCGGACTTGATATCGAGTTGGACGCATCACTGCCACCTTTACCATGCTCTATGTGGCTAAATTCGTTATCCCGGGCTTGTAACACTCAAGAGCTTGTCGTCGAAGCACGAGCGGCGCCCATTTTGTCCAGTATCCTTCGCCGTCGTATCGCGGACAGCGACAGCTCAGTGTTGCCTTTCCCGCACTTGCACGAGGTGACGATGGTCGGGGGATCGCAGCGCGAGCTCAACCTTCTCAAATGGGCGGCCGATCAGGCCGTCCGTACTGGCGAGCGTTATCCCTTCGGGATCACATTCCCGGATGTCAAGATCGAGCACTTTCCGGGAGGCCCAGTTGTTTACCGCCGCGCCAATGGAAAGAAGCGGATGATCTATGTTTATGGGATATCGGTAAGTCGTTTATTTCGTTCTTCGTATACGTGCCGCGAGCTCATATACGCAGGACGAGAGGTATCAGCCGAGGACGAACTCTGAAAGCGCCTCGAAAGCGCTCCAGGATCGGGATCATAGAAGGTGCGTGGATTCATGCAATGTTTCCAGAGTGCCGGCGCTTACATGCTTGCTACAGACGAGCAAGAAAGTCGATGATCTGAGGTACCGCATGTCGAAGACGCATGCGCATATGATGACCGACTGTCAATGTACCCATGTGAGGGGAGCCAGTAATGGAACGAGCCTTATATGTCTGTCCGTACCTCGAGCTCGCACCACTATCAGTCTTACGCAGCCATCGCGTCGGAATATACCTCTGGGTCATTGTTGTGCGCTTGATCGAGCAATAGGCGGGTAGGATATAGCCGATGCGCGTGATAGTGTCCATGTGCGACGTGTCCGGAACGTACCCTTGAAGAGAGAGAGCGAAGACAGTGGTTACATACGATACAGCCCAAAGCCAGCACCGCTTCCATCCCAGGCAGTCGGACGGAAAGTACCGCATTTGCGAGCTGTCAATGCGAGCGCAAGACCCACAACGTCGCGCGTATCGGTAGGCTTGATGATATGGTCGTCCCAAAGGCGCGCACTGGCATGGTACGCAGACGCCTGAGCTTCGATCTCTGCCTTCAAGGATGCATGTCGCGACGGATCCCTAGAAGATGCGGTCAGCAATTCGGGTATGACAAGGGCGCAGTGCCGGATTCTTACTTGGAGATTGTCTGCATAACCTGGCTGAGTTGACCGGGACCCATGACGGAGACTTTCGCGTTCTGTTAAGGGTTAAATTCGGTTCCCAGTTCGTCCAAATGCGTACTCACGGGCCACACCCACAAGAATCGAGGCGAGTACTGCGAGGGAGGTTAAGTACAGACGTATGATGCAATGTTGGAGCGTAGAAGTCTTACTGCTCGTCCAGACATCCCTGAGCGCCGGAGTGTGAGTGCATGCATATACGAGATGAAGTTCAAGAACGCGTACCATAGTTACCCGCACCGAAGCTTCCGCCCACGACGACGGTCAGCTTCGGCACATCGGCACACGCCACCGCGCGAACCATCTTCGCACCGTCCTTCGCGATACCACCGCGCTCGGCCTTGGATCCGACCATGTAATCAGTAACGTTGACGAGGAATAGCAGAGGTATCTTACGCTGAGAGCAGAGTTGAATGAAGTGCGTCGCCTTGAGCGCCGAGAGTGAGAACAGGATGCCATTGTTGGCCACGATGCCAACAGGGTACCCATGGACGTTCGCAAAGCCCTACTCCGTTATCAGTATCATCGAGTCGCATCCGCATAGCTGCGTCATACCGTGACAATGATGGGACCGTACTCCTTCTTGAACTCGTGGAAGGGGCTACCATCGACTTAACGAGACGCGAGATGACATCGCGCATGTCGAAGGGTTGGCTCGAGTCTGTGCCGACGATACCGTGCAGTTGCTCTGCAGAGTGCAAGTGCTACTCCACGGAAGCAAGAGATTTGAGTTTGAGGGGTGATGTATGCGGGTCCAGTAGGTGCGATAGCCTACGCTCGCGTTCAGAGATACATCTTTGCACGTACTGCATGACGGTGGTATACGTACTTCTCGCGGGGAAGCGGCTTACCTTTGCTTCGAATTCTATCTTGAGCCTTCGCACCTCCACCTTATCGTACCTCTGCCAGTTAGAACTAGAATACTCAATCAACTCGTCCATAGCACGTGAAGGAAGTCGAGACAATCGAAGGTAGAACGGACGTTGTGTCGTCTCACACCGCGCCCTGCTAGAGTCCCAGCGCGTACAGTATCCCCAGGGAGGTTAAACATGGTCACGATAGCGCGAAAGCCGACAGAAACGAGAGTCCTCGACGTTAAAAGCAACCTGCGCAAGATCAGGGACACGCTCACCTTACCCCGCATTCTCAGCCCGGCACTCGGTCCGAACGCCGCGTCTGCGTCATCTCGCCACCTTGAGCGTCTCCTCGCCTTGTCCTGCACGCCCATAGGCGCCACTGTGTACAACCGTACTACGTCCCCCCAATATCATACACCTTCAGCGCTCGTGAATCTGGACTCTAGCGCCCGTGCGGGCCCATGCTCCTCTCTTGGTGCAGTCTTCACCATTGACCCGCGCGCGTCTGGTCTGGATACGGCGTTCAGTGTGCTCGACGGTCATAACAGCGCGTTCCGTGGTCTCTCAATATTCACCTCCCGCTGATATGATTGGGCTCCTGCTGTTGTTTATGCCCAGCATAGTCGACAAGGTCAGGCGCGGGAGACGGTGATGGACTGTAGTCTGCATCGTACGTCGTCTCCCTTTGGCTTCTCCCTAGGTGACGATGCTGAAATGCAGTTTCAGAATATGACAGGAATGATAAGCAGGGACGAGTATTCACACGCGATACATTGTGATGCCCCTACCCCTGCCTCTCCCTCATATGTATGCTGTGCCA